CCGTTCAATAGGACGAGGTTGCCGTCCTGGAAAATTGTGAGGACCCCAGAAGAATCTTTGATCGGTTGGTCTCTGTTAGCCACCCAGGCGACGTTGTCTCGAGAGAGATACCAGATTCCGACATAGCGATGTGTTGAATTCGGAGGGCTGAAGAATCCTAGTTTGAAGGCATTACTGTTAGAGCTCAGTGTCTCAGAATCTCTGATGAGTTGGCCTGGTGTAATCGTATCTTTTGCTGAGACTAAAGCCACGCAGAAGCTGGAAATTACGAGGAGAACATTAATCAAACCAAGAGGATGTCTGAATCCCATAATTTGCAGAACTGTCGATTCTAGTTTGCCATGAATGATCTGTTCTGTGTCTTTCAGTGGCATCCTAGTACACCTTGACTACATTAAAAGTAAAATTGAATCGCCCATCTATCGACAGTTCTATATCAGCTTCCATGAACTTTATCTACGAGAAAATGACAATGATTAAGGGCTAACCTGCTCCAATTAAATTCAAAGAGGCAGCCCCTGATGTCCCCTGGAGCGTCAAGTCAGCAAATCACTATTGCTCAAAGAAAACACGACAAGAACTTCAAAGTCAACCCCACTATTTCCTCGGCGTTCGAAGATAGCCAAGCTGCTGGTGTAGTTCCCATTAGCCAAAGCTTCCATTTTAAATAACACGGTTTTTTAACTTACTAAGCCAGACATATATTTTTCGGCTTCTTCTTTCTGAGGAGTCTTTATTCCGAAAGGATTTTTTTTATAAAGCTAATTAAGTAGGGCTGATAGAGATCACCACCATCTACTAGTTTTGTTCGGTGAGTCCTATCTTAATTAATTTTTTTTTCAAATCTTTAATAAATATAAATGACATCACGTTGTATGGTATCGTATTTTGAGTTAATAAAGTCAAACTACTGGGACTTCTTAAAATCAAATACCAATTTGTCCTAGCATCGTATGAAACTTTTTTAACCGTTTCTCAGTCAGGAAATGAAATCAGTATTCAAAAGTTACACTGGGCTCAAATTTGATATTTTTGGTCGAAACAAAATTCCTCCACAGTCCACACTCTTAGTGCCCTCTTTGTAGGCCGAAAAATTATTTGTCTCTTTTGCTTCTTGTTTTTCAATGTTTTCCTTGGGCCCACACGTTTTCGAAATAATTTTGAAAAATCGGTTGGAAATTTGAGTCAAAGTCAGAAATTACTGCTACTGGAGGGTGTTCTGGAATACGATTGATTGGCAAAAAAGAATATAATATGGGCTTTGCATTGCGCGTGATGTGAATGACTTTTCCTCCTTGTTATTTAATTCAGTGATGTGTTTTCGTTCTGTCAGATAAAGGTATATGAATTTGTTTTTTTATATTCTTTATCTCATAATAAACTCTTTTATTAGTTACAATTTATTTAGGCAGGTTTAGTAGTGTTTATGACACCATGTCTCATTAAAATTAATTAATTTTTAAAAAAAATACTTTACAGGTTGTTGCTCAACTTGCCAAATTATATTTACAAAAAAATTTGGGTACAAAATTATGGAAATTGTTACAGGTTAAATACTAAAGCTCAGAGTGGCCAGCTATTTCGTTAGCCTGAGAGACTGGGCTGGAAATTGGGGCTTTAAAAACATGGGCTAGTTCAGATTGACAAATTCACCTTATTTCGAAGCCCAATAAGTTGACATCGACCCAAATTCGAAACTCCCGGGTCTCAAAGGGCTGGTTTTTGGGAGTTTGTTTAATACTCCTCCGGTCCTAATTATAAGACCCAATTGACTTATTTGAGGAGATTAAGGAAGCAAGTTAAGTTGGTTATTTATAATAAATAAGTGTTGTTATTCCTAAAATATCCTTGCTAATTAAGTATATTGGCTAAAACATCATTATTAGAAGGATTATCTTGGAAAAAAATGCATAAATATAAGAGACAAAATGGATTGGGTCTTATAATTAGGACTAAATAAAAGTCAAATTGGGTCTTATAATAAGGACCGGAGGAGTATGAAATAAAATGAAAACACATTGAGTGAAATGAAAAAAAAAAAAAAAATTAGCGCGTGTTTGGATCTCTGTTGAGAGCTCCAAACGTGAAAATAGAAAAAGTCGGTTGGAGGCTTATCTGAAGATGAAAAAAACTTGTTTGGATTGACTTTTTCTGCATCTGATTTGTAGAGAAAAAGCATGGCACCCTCGAACGTCAGAAGAGGCTACAGTGAGCGTTGCAAAAGTCAGTTTGCCATTAGGTGCATTTATATACCCAGATTTGCCGCTCCTCTCTCTTCTCATTCTCACATTCAAGCTCATCGAAGCTAAACAAGAAGAGTCACAGTAATGCACAGTGACCTCTCTCTCTTCTTTCGCTCTCTAAGTTGCTATTGAAGAAGAGGGTCCAATCGCATGAACTAGCCCCCATATCAAGCGTCCTCACAGTTCATCGAGCTTGCCTTCTTGATAAGAAGACCAGAAGCTTTCACTCCTTCCATCCTCTTTTCCAACTTGCGATCTCTATCTGGAAAAAAGAAGAAGGAAGAATTGAAGACAAAAAAACCAAAAACTAGTCAATGAAGATGTGGTTTTGAGGGGCTAATCCTGCGTGTTCCTTCTTTATGCTGGGTCTTAGATCTAAATTCACAATTGATGTATCTAGTGAAAGGGAAAAAAAAGAAATAAATAAAAGAAATTAAATTAAATTAACATAAAACAAAAAAAATTTAACTATGTTATTTTTAACAAGAAAATTATTTAATTAAAAAATTTTCAATTTCAATGAATTTTAATTTATATTCATATTTATCCATTATATATATTTAATCAATTAAAATTTATTTTCAAAATTTTCTTAATAATAACTGTTTTTATTTTTATAATTTTAATTTTACTTATTCTTTAACAATTATCATATTATAAACATATGATATAAATATATATTATTGAATAAAGTTTATGTCCATTTTAGTCATTTTATATCTAAATTTACTTTTTTATTAATCATTCAAACAAATTCCAACTTATTAAACTGACTTTCTCCTAACTCACGTTTGTAAAAGTCAAATGAAATAAAAATTAGTTTCGTTATCGCTAATTCAAACACACCCTTAATTGGTTGGAATTTTTAAAATGGGGACGAAGGGTTTCGTCTTATCTTTGTTTTATATAAACTGGATGGAATATAAAACATAACAATCATTTGTGAGCCAAATTAGTTCCTATGGTCAAGAAAAATAAAATTAAGAGGATTTATAATTTTGATCAAACAAACGAAACAATCTAATTAATAAACTTTAAATAATCATTGGTGGCCAAAAAGAAGAGTGCAACTTAAAAAAATATAATGCAGAGACCATTTAGGTGAAGTGCGGGAGGGAAAGCATATAAAGACAAACTGGACCACATCTCAATTAAAAATTTAAAGGCTCATGCTAAATAGATTCTTTCGCTGATTTGTATTTATTTATGTTATTACGCTCATTCTATCCAATGTGACACATTAAACCAAGTCTACTTGCATTTGGCTTACTTCAACTCTTTCCCCTTAAGTGTGAATCCATAATTGACCACACAAACAAGCTCCTCTGTACCAAAAACATTACAAACACCAAATTTCCATTGAAATTGAACCAAGTCTAGCTCATGGGCTCCAAGTCATATAATACACAAGCTCTTATCAAAATCAGGGTATCCCAATTTTTAGGCTTTGAACGAGGTGCATCTTCAGGTTTTTAGTGTCATTTTCACACAAATCTGAGACGAAACTAAGTCCTTATACTAATTTTTAGGATGGCTTGATGCAAGGATAATATGAGAGCCTATGCAATATTTACATTCGTAGTGATATCCTACACACAATTGCAAGGCAATAGAAAGAAAGTGTGAAAAATACTAGCTATTTATGTGTGGCTAAAATTCAAGAGGAGCCAATAATTAAGTAGGGCCAATAGCCCAGTGATAAACATAAAGCTCTCGGTGAAAGCAACATGGAGGCAGGAATCCAAAACAAAGGACACACAATCTTGTGTGAAGAGAAAGTTCAATCCAAACTTCGAAGAGTACCATGAAGTTTCTAGGAGCCAACCCCTCTTGTTATTTTCTTCATCAATCTTTTAAGCCTGAAAAGCCATTACAAGACCTGAGCAGCTTCCTCTGCTCCATTTTTGGCAGAAACAGAACAGTGTGACCAATTCTGAACAAACGCACGGCATCTTCCTCATGATTTGGTCTTCCCCTTTCCCTTTCAATGCAAACTTTGATCTTTTTAGTCGTCAAGCCTGCATCGTACACAAAATATGCTATATAATGGACACGAGGGCATGAGTGCTCAATCAATTTTTCTTGTTGTTTCTTCATTTCATGGACAACTTAGTCCTTTTACTTGTGACAAAAAAAAAAACATCAACTTGATCTTAATCTTGCTATTAAGTTCTTCACCTTTTACCATCTCACTTAAATCAGTCAAACTTGGTTGTTTCTTTCTCAGTACATGATTAACCCCTATGCTAAAGTTAGTGACATAAACCTTTGTGGGGATAAAGGTCATCTAAAAGAGGTTACTTCTTTGTGAAATAAGAGAGCTTATTTAGGTCACATAAATCCACTTTAATTAGACTGGTACATTTTCAATGAGGAATTGAAGCGCCATTATTGTCTGTTTGAGCGTTTGAATGGAGCCAAAGAGGAAGAACAAGTAGGTGAGATATAATCCCTTGGAGAGCATCTTCGTCATCATTTCTTGTGTTTGGATTTGGCAAGGAATAGCGTAAACTTGGTTCCAAACTCCCCCAAAAGCTTCCAATTTTGTTTTTTATAATGTTTCGGAATAAGCAAAAATCCATCTGCTACCCCGCCATCGCCTTCTCTAGCTTCCTAAGCAACTTCCACGAAACATGTCTTCTTCATCCCAATCACACACACTCTGCCTCTTGTCCTTTTCACTTCTATCCCTCTCTCTCATCCCTCTCCTGGCCCACCTCACCACTATATATTCTCAGAGATCCTCCTTTTCGCTTCATCGTCTTCATCAGGAGCGACACCAATGGCGTCCCAAAATAACGGCCTGGTTTTTCAGGACTACTTTCCGACCATGGTGGAGAAGCTGGGGACGGAGGGGTTCATGAAGGAACTGAGAAATGGATTTAAGCTGCTGATGGACAGAGAGAAGGAGGTGATAACGTTCGAGAGCTTGAAGAAGAACTCTGCCTCGCTGGGTTTGCAGGGGATGAGCGATGACGAGCTAATGTGCATGCTCAGGGAAGGTGATTTGGACGGCGATGGAGCTCTCGATGAGATGGAATTTTGCACCCTTATGTTTAGGTTGAGCCCTGATTTAATGAACAGTTCTAAGTCTCTCTTGGAGGAAGCCATTTTTACTCAAGGTTGAGCTTCCTCTGTTCTTTTTGGTTTTACTTCCTTCTCATCATCATCATCTTCATCCTCACTGTCGCTTTTCCTCTGTTTTTTTTTTTTCCCTTTTTTGTTCTTTCCTTCTCATGTGATCTGTAATGGCAGATTTCTAGTCAGATTTTTTTGAATAATTTTTCTTGCATATTTCTAAATAGTTTTACAACATTTTTTCTGCAGGGAGAATTTATTTTTTGCATTTGAAGAAAATATATTATATTATCTCCGATCCTAATTATAAAATATCGTTTGTAATCTACAAATAAGATCTTATAATTAGGACTGGAGGTAGTATGTGACAAGTTGCACTTTTATTTGGGTCTAAACAATATAATTCTATCACAAAAAAAAATAATTCTCCTCAGATTTTGTTTCATATATATATATATTCCAACAAATACTAGTGTTTTATAGTGGTTAGGAATTTTGTTGATTGGGATTGAATTAATTTGAAAAGCAAAAAAGAAAGAAAGATTAGGATGAAGTGAAGTGAGTAAAGAAGACGACAAAGTTAAAGAAGCATGTGAACAACAATGCTGACAAAGGAAACTTCCATAGTTTGTGTCTTTGAAGAGCTATACCTTTTTAATTTGTTTTAAATGGATCCTTATGCCCAGACTTGATATAAATACCCGTCAAATCTCTATGTCTAATAATTTGAATATTCTATTCCTAATCATCATACGTACCTAATTTATACATTATTTATAGTCGGAGCATATCTTATTTATCATAATTCACATCTTATTTCTACGCAAAGTTAAATAATTTATGAATATTATGAATTATGTTATTACCTCTTATTTTTAATATAAGAGCTAGTTGACTAATTTGAGTAGATTAAGAAAGTTCATTAAGTTAGTTATTTGTAATAAATAGGTACTGTCTTTCTTAAAATACCCTCACTAATCAAGTGTATTAGCTTTAACATTTGATAAAACATTTAATATATACAACTACTACAAGGATTATCTTGAAAAAATAAATAAATATGATAGATAAATTAGATTAAAGTCTTATATGTAAGAATAAATTAAAAGTCAAGCTAGTTTTTATATTAAGAAAAATGTAGTATTTTGTTTGTCAAAGGTTGGTCAGTCATAACCACCAGCATGATAAAATTAGCAGGATATAAACAAGATCTGCTAAAAAAATCCTCGTACTAAAATGCGGCACAGAGAAACATCCGTCAACAAAAAACTCATGAGTAAATTTATGGCACTAACTTCATAAAAATAATACTCCTCCGGTCCTAATTATAAGACCCAATTGACTTATTTGAGGAAATTAAGGAAGTAAGTTAAGTAGGTTATTTATAATAAATAAGTGTTGTCATTCCTAAAATATCCTTGCTAATTAAGTATATTGGCTAAAACTATCATTATTAGAAGGATTATCTTGGAAAAAAATGCATAAATATAAGAGACAAAATGGATTGGGTCTTATAATTAGGACCAAATAAAAAGTCAAATTAGGTCTTATAATAAGGACCGGAGGAGTATTACATAAGGAGTGGACAAGCGTTGACTAAACATTGACTGACCCAAAGCTGCTTTGGGCCGAGGCCGGTAACGGCCCAGGCCGAACCCAATGTTGATGGCAAGATAGGGAGCAAATGTCATGTGAGGGTTGAGAAAGTCCAAAAGCCCAGCTCCTCTTTTTCACCAAATCAAAAAATCTCTCTCTGTTTTATTTTATTTTATACAATGCTGTGTTTGATGATACGATGAGTTCATAGGGGAGGGGAGGGGAGTTGAAATTGGTTAAAAATCTCCATTTGAAAATTTTATTGGTTAAAAAAAAATCGAAATTGTTTTCATGCAGAGAAGGTACCACTATTCTAAAAAAATTTATACATTTTTTCATATTTAAGGTCATAAGAGTCAATAAAATTTCTAAACAGAAAATTTTCCTAATTAAAAATATTAAATTCGTGAACTGCCTTTAAAGTTTCCCCCTTTTCAAACTTTGGAATTAATTAAACCAAAAAAAAAACTGGTGTTTGTCCTTCCTTCCGAGGAGGGTTAGATGGATAGGCCTTAGCTAACATGTATGGTCTTTCTGTCTCAATTTGTTTGGTTTATGATAGCGCGCACACAGCTTTAACTGAGCTGTATATGTGTTATTGGTAACTTCTGATGATAATATGTATCATGTGGGGGGTGGGGGCCATTGCCAGTGGCCACTAGCCACAATGGAATGTGGATGTAGAGCCGGGAAAACGGGCCGAGCTCATCGGGCCGGCCCGTTTAGGCCCTGAAATTACGAGGGCCGGGCTTGATATTTTTCTCTTAAAATGAGAAACAAGCCCTGGAGGGCTGGCCCTGGAGGGCCGAGGGCTTAAAAGGGCCGGCCCTGGAGGGCCGCGGGCCGGCCCTTTTAAGCCCTTTTATAATTTTTTTATTTTTAAATTTTTTTATATAATATTAATGTTATTAATTTTTTACATTGTTAATAATATTTCAAATATTTAGTTATTATTATCATTTTAAAATTAAATTTAGTTTTAGATAATAATTTATCCAATTAAATTTTTAAAGAATCGGTTAATTTAAACTTTAATAATGATTTGATTTATATTATATGCGTTGATATTTTTAAACTATATATATATTTGATAATAGAATATTTTTATACTTATATAACTTGTGATTCTATAATTTGAATTAGAAATTCATGAGTTTCAACAACAATGTTTCTCACATTAAAGTAAAATAATAGTTAGATTGCAAAATTCAAAAATAAAATTCTTATAAAGAAGAAAAACTTGATATTTTTGTTACGAAAGAAAAGCATACTTATGAAGAAAAGTAATTAATTATAGTGATGATGAAGTTTCAAAAGATTAATGATAGTGTTTATTTATTGCACAATTGCATTATAGATAAAACTTTTAGATATTGTTATCTTGTTAATGAATGTTTTAGATGTTCTTAGATGTTGATGAATATTTATATATGATGATATTTTATATTTATGACTTAATTTTATTCATATTTATGTCTTTTATTAATAATTTCATTGGTTTATTTTTATATTTTTATAAAAAAATTTTATAAATATAAAAAAATAGTATTTTTCCTTAAACGGGCCAAAAGCCCGCGGGCTGGCCCTGGCCCTGTAGCTTAAGGGCCGGGCTTAGCAAATTGGGGTATTTTTAAAATTTCAGCCCTGGAGGGCCGGCCCTTTTAAGCCCGCCAGCCCTGAAGGGCCGGCCCTGATTCCCGGCTCTATGTGGATGTGTGTTAATTTAATAGAGAGAGGTTTAATGATTTGATTGGAGCCAGGGATGAATTAATCATGTGATTAAGACTTAATTAGACATGCCCTATTAAAATGTTTGTTCATTCCACATTTTTAATTTTAAATTAATTAATTAATGTCATTGATTTGCTTATTGTCAACAACCCCCCCCCCCAAAAAAAAAAACCTTTCACATATATTCACGTGATGCCACCTAGCACTTTCCACTCCATCCTCTCTTTGTCATCATCCCATCAACATCATTTATCTATATTATTAATTACCTCTCTGATAATAAATGTAAGTACATTTTGTTTTTTATATTTATTTATTTTACCTCCAAATAATTTTTATAGTAATTGTACATATTTAGATACATGTCGTGTGTGCACTAACAAGGGTTGATTCAAATAGTAAACGGTTTACTATCGCTTAAATGAGGTTTCAAGTTCGAGCCTCAGTGTATGCAGAAATCTCTGTTGGAAGACTCATCCACCACAGCCAGGTATACGACGCGGGTTGGATCTAGATATAGTAAAAATAAAACTCCAGTAAATTGAGTGGACAACAAAAAAAAAAAAAGATACATGTCGTGTGTGGGTGGGGGCTGCCAGCCGACCTTTCTGCTTGCCCCTTATCCCCAGTCTCTCCCTCTCCCCACTATGACACAACAAAGAATGCTAAGATTCTTACTTTCCACGATACCTAACCCTAAAGTCCCCCTCTTCGTTTTCCCACCCATCAAATCCACTTTTTTTTTTTAACCCACATTACTTTGTCGTCATCATTTTTCTTTGTCCCTCTACTACGCTGTTCTCTTGAAAAAAATGATCTCAGCATCTTACATTTTTTAACGGGGGAATTATAACTAAGTCCCACAGAAGAGAAATAATTACGAAAAAGTCTCAATAACAACTTCAACAGCCTATAATAACAAGTTCTATAGTGAGAGACTTGTTTTTTAATTGTTTTCTTTGTTTGGGACCTCATTGTAATTCTCCCTTTTTCAATTTCAATGATTAATCTTTGGAGCAAAAATTTATGCTCCATCGTTCGCTTTCTTCAGCCATACAACTTTCTCATCCACTTTACATTTTCATACATGCAATATAATATCCATATTATAATTCCTTCATTATAAATTGTCATTAATATAATTCCTCTTCTAATATATTATCTTAATTAAGCTTGCTTGTGTTGCTCCTGCCTTGCGTATGATGCCATCTCCTTTGTTTTTTTTCCCTCAAGTAATGCTTATAGTAATTGAATGTATTAAATGTTTTACCAAATAATAATTTTAACCAACATACATGATTAGTAAAGGTATTTTAAGAAAGACAATATATATTTATTATAATAACTAACTTAATTAATTTTTTTGATGTACTCGAATTACTTAACTATCTCTTATATTAACCAGATATAGTAATATCTTAATTGAATTTGCTTGTGTTGCCCCTGCCTTGCATATGATGCCATCTCTTTTTGTATAATATTTATGTATTGTTAAGTGTCGCTTTCTGATATTATCAGCTTCATTGTTCTCTTCCTTTCCCTCTTCTTTTAATTGAATGGACGTGTTTCAACCTTTGAAAAGAGATTTGTTTGGATTCTAATCCCAATCACAACCCTGTGCAACCATACCCGACATATTCAACTTGTTCCTAATTCTGTATTTTACGTTCATATACCAATCTTTTCCGTAGGCTCCATTTATCGTATTTTATTACAATTATTGCTTCCACCCCTTTTCCCCTCTCTTTCTCTCCTAGTCAGAGTAATTCAAAGAAATAGTCAAAAAATGCAAACTCAGGTTTAAACATTGATCACTAATAATGAACTTTCTGAACCACCCATACCAAAATTAGATCACCAGAATTTTATGTTTTATAGAAGAAAGTTATTATATTACGTCTCCGTTTTTTTTTTTCTCCTTTTTTTAATGACGTTAACCTATTTGTTACCTTAGACTTTTCATAGCCCATCGCTAATGTGATGACTTGTAGGCTTTGTAGAGATGTTTAAACTTGGTTTAAAGTTACATGTGAGCTACTCAATTGCTACAAGAAAGATCAAAACACCTAGGTAGTTCACTAAATTTAAAGTTTATAGAGACTCTTTCCATATTCATATACAATAACTTTGCTTTATCGATTTTCCAATATCAAAAATTGACCAAATAAACTAAAAGAAAATATGCAATGTCGTAAAGATGGTGTTATTTGAGGTAGTTTGTTTGGTTTCTTGATATTAGTTTTTATTGTCAGCTCATTCTCAATTATGGTAATTGGTGGCTAGTTGATCCGGAAACAATTGTAATTTCCCGCAGGTTAATTTCTGAATCAGTAGTAATTCTAATTAATCAGCTCAAACCAAAAGAAATTAAGAAAGAATTAGTAAGTATATTTAGCAAGCAGAAAGGGGCAATAATTATCTTCTCCTATATTCTCGTCTCCACGTGGCGACACCTATATCGCTCATAATGGGACAACTCGTGGGGCCCACGATCCATTACTATCCGCGCCTACCAGATCGCCGTGTGATGATCCCTTAGCGAAACGGTGTCCCACTTGTTCATGTTCATGGGATATAACCCATTACCAGCACAACTTGAAACAACAAAACGATCATATAAAAAAGACTCAACTTTTCCCTGTGGGTATTGGTGAAAGGATTCCAATGTGGGATCTTTGGGCATAATAAAGGGTGTGGGAGGAATTAGAGCGCCTCCGAGAGATTAGCCCTAGTGAAGCTTTCCGGCCATGGCCGAGATGGAGAAGCAGACGGCGAGGGTGGTTGAGGAGGCGAATGGCGGCGGCGAGGAGGAGAGGCTCTTGGAGGGTATGGCCGTTGTGGATTTCGACATGCTTTGTTCCACGGTGGCCTTGCAGACTCACGGCAAATGGGGGAAGCTCGGTGGTGTTGGAGATGAAGAAGAGGTTACGGAATCTGGCGGGGTCTTCAGGATGTGGGAAGGTGAACTTCTCGATTGCTGCGAAGACCGTCGAATCGCCCTTGAATCCACATGGTAGCTTTTGTTCTTCTTCTTCTTCTTCGTGAGGGTGGGTTGGTGGGCTTTGGCTTTTTGACATTCTGGGTAGAGACAAAGGTTTTGAGAAACATTGATTGTTTTGAGGGATCAGGAATTTGGTTGTTAGATTTCTCTTGTTCTTTGAAGGTTTCTGTTCAGTTTGTCTTTTGTCTTTTTGGTTTCTATTTCGAGCAGTGCCCAGAGATTTTATCTTCCCATATTTCTTTTTTCTGGGTTGGGTACTCTTGACAAATGAAGTTAAATCATTTTGACTTGTTGTTTTGACCCTCATAATTGTAGAGATGTCTTTGTGGTCAATGAAAAACCCAAACGCCAGAATAAATGGAGAGTTTAAGGGGAAGGGGAAGGGAAAGGGAAAAAGTCAAAGGATGAGGGATAGCTTGAAAGCTTTCTTATGATATATAATGCCTGTAATATGTGAGTAACAGCTCGCTTGGTTTTGCAGTTGTCCTTGCTACCGATTTGGGAAGAACATGAAGAGAGCTGGCTTTGCTCTTCCTTATTTTCAGGTACGCTTTTCATGAAGATGTCAAAATTCTCTGTTCCGGCAAGAAAAGTCAAATTGAGTTGAAAGTTGAAACTTTGACAAATTCAATTGATGTGAACTCTCTGAATCTGAACTTTGAGTTCTTTTTTCTCCTTTGTTTTGCAGGGAATAGTTTACTTTCTTCTAACAATTGGCGTCATTCTCAATTTGATTGCTTTTATTGCCACAAGAAAGTACCGTTTTCTCTACCTGGCAGTTTCCTTCGCTATTACTACTGGAGCATATTTAGGCTTATTCCGAACACGTATACGAAAGAAATTTAACATCAAGGTGGGGGTTTTTTTTTTTTTTTAATCGATGCTTGGCACATTTCAGCCAAAAAAAAGATGTCTTGCATGTCTCTGGATGGCTTCATATCCTTTTCGTTTGTTCAATACTTCAATTACGTTTAGTCCTCATATCTATATGAAGTTTAATTGTGGCGCACAATTGAGAAATGTGGCTGTCGCCATTTTTGTAGATGGGGTTTTGAGTAATTACATGGATAGGTGCTTATCTTGGAAAAAAAAATGGTGGTATAATCATCATTTTACAGGTTTATGAATCCCATTTGATCTACTGAAATTAGATATATCATTTGCATTCAACAGTTTGTATAGGGGTTAGACTGGGTAATATTGATGCTTGTGCCCTGTGACTTCCTATTCCTGTTTTGTAACTTTTAATATATGTGTACATTTTTTTTTTTTTGCTGAAATAAATTTTGAATAATGTCTAATGCTCTCTGCATTGGTACCTTTGCAGGACAGGGATAGTTCCTTTGATGATTTCATCTACCATCTCATTTGTCCTTGCTGTACATTATGTCAGGTCATCTTCAAAATCCTCTCTCTTCTCCACTTAGTTCATGTGATTTATGGGATGTGCTTAAAATTCTTGGAGGGACATGTTCGAATATTGACTATAGGTACCACTGAAACATGATGCAGGAATCGAGAACACTAGAGATGAACAATGTTCAAGATGGCACTTGGCACGGTCGGGGTGACACGAGGTACATAGGTGGCTTGAATGAAGGGAGTAAAGCACTCTTTAATCTACATCCGCCTCCGATTGTTTCCATGAATAATAATGATAAAACCGTCAATGAAAAGAGTACAGATGCAAGAGATCAGTCTTGAATCTAAGACTTTGGGATATTTTGAAACGATGTTGTCCCTTCTGAATTCCACTCCTATGTGTCTGCACAATGTGTGCACAATGTAACTTTACTCCCAAGTTCCGTGGAGTATCATGCCCAAGATGTGAACGTGACAACTGACAAGGGTTTCATCGGTGGCATTTGCATTCTAAGGTCTTATTGGTAACTGCAGGCATAACCTCATCAGCAGACAATGGTATCTGCCGTTTCAATCTGTCATCGCATCATTGCTTCGGATGGAGAACAATATTTGGTTTCTAAAAAGGAAAAAAATTCTGCTATCAGCTAAAAGTTGATAGCAAATACTGTACAAGTTTTACCCAAGGTTTGTCCTTCAAGTTATACCATGAGATGTGAGTTTGATCATTTGTACATATGGTCTTCATTTTCGGGTGAGGGGGCTGTGTTTTTGCCAGCCCTAGTAGTCTATATAGTTGGACGTGTTTAGGTGGTCATTGGTCGGGCGTATCATCTTCATTGTTCAACGGATTGAGTTTTTATAAATTATTTTGTCAAGTTGTTCATCCGCATTTGCAGGTGCTGGTCTAACTTGAGTTGCACGATTTGATATATAAATAAAAAGCAGAGAAAAACTAACTTCCAAATGCCCTTTTCCAGTACAATGCCTTTATATTAACAGAATCGCTTATAAACTTCGCCATTGAAACCGCTTTATATCCATGTGTGAACCACATTGGATTCATTAGGTGATCGATTGATAACCTCCAAATTATGGTTTTAAAAGCACTTTTCCGTAAAATAAGATAAATTCTTCTACATATTGATTTCGTAAACCGTAAAAGCACTTCTAAAATCATGGTTTGGTTTCGATCTAAACACTCCCTGAATCAACTACTTGGGTCTGACTTTGATAAGCTTGGTTGCAATCTATAACATAGAATCACAATACCTCCACAAGATCTAAGTTTTTATTTAAGAGAATCAAACAAGTACTTGTGACAAATGGCACTCAGGAGGTTGTGTCTCTCAATAACAAAGAACAGACAGGCATTTCGGCCCTCTCTGCTGGCTCAGGATTTGGACATAGAAAACACATGAACCAGAACGAGATAGATGCACAACCTTTTATCCTCGGCTTCTTTATCCCTCATGATTATTGGAATAAAAATGTAATAATCCTAATAATAATGGTCAAAGTCACAGAAAAATCAGATTGTCCTTCTTTTGATGTTCCTTTTCAGCACACTCAGTCAGACGGTGCTCACTGAAGTTTCTGTGCTTATAAAGCTCGTATCATAGTCAAAGGCTGAGTCTTTTGCCTCCATCCTCTTCATCTCTTGCATCAAACTGAAGCACCTACTTACTGTGTCCTATAATAACCACCATAAACCCTCTCATTAACGCTTAACACAATACCTGAATAATAATGATAAAATCATTTGCTTGAGAGAATAGCGATTTAATGCTATTTACCTCATCAATATAATCACAAGCTACAATTGAAGCCCTCACAGTAGAAAATTGCTGTGGGAATAGCTCACCAGATGCACAAATAAGTGCAGATGCTGCGACAGTGGAAGGTTTGAACCCCACAAATTTGATGTCTACAACCAAAACACTTGGAAATGTCAAGGGTTTGATCTAAATTAGAGTGAAAATTAATATAAAGTTGAGTGTTTTGAGTAAAACACAGAAATATACCATAATGAGCATTAAAGATTATCTCTGAAGCTCTCTCTTTCAGTGCTTGTTTTGATGATGGGTCTTTGAGTTCAATCTCAGCTAAAGAGATGAAGAAATGCAGAAAAGAAAAAGGTGTAATTGATCTCATACGCCATTCTAATGCTCCAAGTATAAGATTCTCCATTTTCTGAATAGTTCCAGCCTCAAACATACAACCTTCAATCTGATTTATTGGTCACATGATAATGTCACTAGTTTAAGATGTTATCATATATTGTACTGAAACTTAGAAATAGAGACCACAGAATCCTTGGGCACTTAAGAGTTAATGTCATGTGAAAACTCATGTAGTTCAAAGGCTTACCTGCAAATCTGAAATTGGGAAGGGTGTGTTGGTCATTTTTGAGGCCAGAGAAAGACAAGAGATAACAATGAGTCTGAGAAACCACGGCTTCCCCTTCTGCAAAACTCACAAGGAAAATTTCCGTGTTTGGTTACTGAGAAAATGGATAGTCCTACAATTGAAACTAAATAATTATGAAAGCAAGCAGGAACTTATCCAAATATACCTTTATTTCTCGCCTGGACACGAACCGGTCCAAGTAATTTATAGCAAGGTAAGTTCCTAAAGGGTCCAAATTGCTGGAAAACTGAACCTGAAGAAACAAGGCCACTGTTTAGAACAAACCATAGTAAATATGGAAGAAAACAAAGAAGGTCTAAACCAGACCATTCAGAGGAAACTGGTTTTTCACCTGTGATATGAGAGAAACAGCTTCACAACGGAAGGAAATGCAATTTTGAGTGGGCATATGATCAGATTCACAGGCAAAGAGTTCAGAGATGCTACAGTTTTGCTGTTCTTCAAAGCTGGCAAGTGGGTCTTCAAGATCAAACTCCATTTTCATGTTCTTTACCAGTTCATCAAATGATGGAATTTGTAATGATGGAAAAAAGAAAAGAGAGAAGCTTCTCTTTCTGCGTTGATAATGATAAAGAAGAAAAGTATGGTTGTCGTCTTAGTAGGATCCTTTGTTCCTTCCCATCCCAGCTGTTTTCACATTGAAGTCAGGTAAAGGCAGAGAGACGTGATAGTAGAAGTATCTAGAGAATTTAACATGTTATCTTAGTCAAATTACTACCATTATATTTTCTTCCACCTGAGGAAAAAAGATTAAGAATACCAAAATGGACTAAAAGTTACAGGGTTGTTACCCTTATTCCATGCGTTCACACCCATGAATACTGGGGTTCGCCCCATTGATAAATTTGAACTATATTGCTCAGCTATTGTAGGCAAAGATTAAACGGTGAAATTGCATTACTATATTTGTACTGATTATGCAGATTAGACATCATTGTCCTGGACTTCAGCTTCTTTCTTTCTTTCTTTTCTTTAAATCATTATTGCAATTTGAACAGTTTTCCAGTCAGTACTCGGTACAGACAACAATCTAACAGATTGACTTCCTGCATATTATCAAAGATTCCAACCAATGACAACATGTTTCCAATGCATTAGGTGTAAACATTAGATGATGAACAGTTTTTCCGGTCTGTACCAGAGCGGGTGAGCTAATTAATGCTTGAAGAGTTCTTAACGATGCAGTGGAAAACCATGTTAATGGAATTGGGGAAGAATCCTTTTGGGTGATAAAGAAAAGGAATTGAAAAGAAAAAAAGCAGGAGAATTATATTCCTTTCAAGTTTCAATCAGGACGGTCAAAATATCTTTAGCTTCTTTCTTCCCTTTGACCTGTCTCTATTTCTCGAGCTGCAACAAAAAAGAAATCCTGCTTTAACCCTCCATGATAACTTACAGTAGTAGATTTTATTTTAACTTGTAACCCTTTACTATCACTTCAGTTTCACATGAAATTCAGTGAAGTATCAGAATAGTTAATGCAGGAGAAGTATTGTTGGTATTGGTGGTAGAGAGTTGTTCAGATGAGATGAGAATAATACTCCCTCCGTTCCTTATTATAAGAGACAGATAACCGAAATACGTTGATCAAAAAAACAGTTAAAATTAGTTAAAAACAATTAATGTGTAAAAAATATAATTTGTTTTCCAAACATGCCCTCATTAATAAGGAATGAGAATAGGAGAGAGAATAATTAAAATATTAAAAGAAAGAGAAGTGGGAGGGAGAGAGAATGTGGGTTGGAGATAATAAATATGGGTAAAATAGGAAATCAATGCAAAAAAGTAGAGACAACTTTTAAGTGTCTCTTATATATAGGAACATACCATAAACATCAAATGTCTCTTATAATAAGGAACGGAGGGAGTAATGATCATGTGAAGGGGAAGTATGTGTCAGAAAGAGCCAGTTGAAATGAGGCCCTTCAAATTAGAAATATGTGAAGGTTACATTTAATGGTTAATATTTATGATTTTTAAAAAATAAATTACAGCTGTTTTTTAACAGAGAGTTTACTGTAATTTTTTTTTAAATTTATTCATTTTTTTATGAATTGAAAAATCTCAACCCAACTTAGACTGTATTAATTGGTGGGTTAAACGGGGCCATTCATCAATCCACGTAACCTTTTTATATTTTTTCAATAAATTTTAAAACAAAAGTTCTTTACCCAAAAGCTTACCTAAATTGATGTTTCATGTAACTTAAAATCCACTAAATTAATGTGTATGCGGGGCCATGTCCATGTGCTTAAAGTTGGGGAGTTAATATTAATTCTAATTGTAAGATCTGTTTTTTTATGTTTATGAGTTTTCTTCAAAATTAAACTTATCAATATTTTCCTACTAATAATCAAATAGGAGAGAAAGTAAGTAAATTAAAAAAGATGTTTAGGGTATTTCAAAAAAAAAAATCATATTAACTAGTTTAACTAACATTTTTAATCTACTCAAATTAGTTAATTAAATCCTACATTAAGAATAGGAGGAGTATATCATTAATAAACAATCACAAAAAATAATGCTCCTCCAGTTCTTAATATAAGACCCATTTAGCTAATTTGATTAGATTAAGTAAGTTAGGTAAGTTAGTTAATTATAAGAAAAATGACATATTTTTCATAAAATACCATAATCATCTTTTTTAATGCCTCCTTCCTCTTCTACATGATTATGGTCGAGAGAATATCTATAGGGGTAATTTAGAAAAAATTAATAAATATGATAAATGAGTCTTATATTTAGGACCAAAATCAACTCAAGAATTGGGTTATACATTAAGGACCGGAGGAGTAATATCATTCCATCCTTATTCAAACTTGAAATGATATCAATCTTTGATTCTTTCTCATCATCTTCATTATATGCAACAAAAGGTATATACTAGCTCCAATTGTAAATATAAGAACTAGTTCATTAATTTAAATAGATTAAAGAAATAAGTTAAGTTAGTGATTTGTAATAAATAGGTGTTATCTTTCCTAAAATATCCTTGCTAATCAAATTTATTGGGTAAAACTACCATTATTAGAATGACTATCTTGGGAAAAAATAAATATGAGAGACAAAATAGATTAAAATTTCATATTTAGGATTAAAATAAAAATCAAACGATATCTTATACTCCTCTAGTCCTTAATATAGGACTCAATTCTTGAGTTGATTTTGGTCCTAAATATAAGACCCATTTATCATATTTATTAATTTTCTCTAAATTACCCTTATGGATACTCTCTCAACCATAATCAAGTAGAAGAGGGAGGAGGGTATAAGAAAGATGATTATGGTGTTTTAGGAAAATGTGTCACTTTTCTTACAATTAACAAACTTACCTAACTTCATTAATCTAATCAAATTAGTTAAATGGGTCTTATATTAAGGATCGGAGGAGTATTAAAAATCAGAGACAGTATTAGTTATAAAGTTACCTTTTGGATATAACGCAAGGAAGAAAAAATGTTAGTATGATAAGACTGCATCTAATTGCCATGCGAGTTGTAAGTGGAGAGTGTGATGCGAGGAATTTTATTGCACATATAAACACATTTTGTTTCCCATAAACATATATCATTTTTTCCTTTCTCATACCTTCTTTATATTCATTATTCACAAAATATTATTTAAAAGTATGTTATCTTAACAGTCTAGCTAGCCATGCAGGTGCCCGTGATAAGCAAAAATAATAAGAGGGTGTTTGGCAGCCTCCAAACTATAGTTTTAGAAGCACTTTTTCGTAAAACGAAACAAACTCCTCTATATATTTACTTCGTAAACCGTAAAAGCACTTCTGAAACCATGGTTTGGTTTCTATCCAAACTCCCCCTAAATAACAAAAAGGTCCTGTCAACTCTCCTAAAATTTTGCCATTACTTACCTCAAGAATTAAGGAAAACTCTTATAAGCTAAGTGGTATTATTAATAACATGACTTTTGATCCAACAAAGATCATAACAACCGAAGTTAGCCACGTGCACAAACAAAACTAATTCATTAGACATGATAACTATTAGATCCTGTTTGATACGAAGTATTAAAACTGAGGGATATGAACCGATATTGTACTTGGAAAAAAATCATTAAAAAAGTATTTAACATGAATAAGTATTTGTTATATGAGATTAAACAAACCCATTGAAGTGAGATTAGAAAATATCATATCTAATTACGGTATTCTCTAATCCCACATATATCCTTTTGTCTAATTAATTCTACGTAATAAGAAATCTCTTATGCTAAATATTTTTTAATAAGATTTTTCAATCCTAATCTCAAACCCTACCCCTCATTTTTAATATTTCATATCAAAAGGGATCTTAGAATTACTCAAAATATTCAAAACACACGTACAAATAAGAAGATACAGGCACCCTAGGAAGCAATGGACGAGGGGTTTTTAATGCCTCGCTCTTTAATATCCTTTGAAACGTCCCAAGCTGTTAAAAATTGTATTATTAATAATCAAAATATTTACAAAATTAATGATATTTTGATATTTTATAAGTGAAAAATGGTGTGGTTTTAAATTTTTTTTACGATTTTATAAGAAGAAATATTCTTAAATCAGATAGTTTTGATCTTTTCCTTCCAAAAATCATAAAATTTAGTTAAAAAATTTACCTTTTCATGCCTGCTAGATATCAAATTATCACGGATAAACTGATTCTACTTAAAATCTAATCTAATGATCAATAAAGAAAACCTTTTAAAAAGTTGAGGTAATTACAAAGGATATTAAATAATAAGGTATTACAGACTCGTTGCCTCTAAGCAACACGCATTGCATATCCCCCTAAAACAGTCTTCATGGGATCTTGGGTGGCTTCGGCAGCCACCAACAAAAAAAGGGCTCAGATTGTGACGATGGAATTGAAGGGCGTCTTCAAATTTATAAAACAAAACGTGAAGCTTGTGTGCCTTGTAGCATTAGACAACCTGAGATTAATTAAAACATAACCATCCTATGCTTGTTTCTTTCGGGGCACAGAAGGAACAATCAATTAGTCCGAATATTCTCTCCTTAATTACCTACTCAATCATGCACCAATGCTTGCTTCAATTTCGCATTTGTGGGTCCCACTCCCACCAACGTGATCCCATTCTTCATTTCATAATTACTTTTATTACTGTTATTATTAAAAACTAAAAACACCAAAACTCTGCTAATTCTCTCAATTACTACTGCTTAAAAAAGTGTATTCCTATTATATGAAAATGGAACAAGGATACTGAAAACAATATCCAAACACATAACACTAACAATATTATCAACTCATACATAACCAAACCTTTCTTCCATATAAAATTATTCAGTTCTTCTTCCAATATATACGCAATTTTATGCCAAAAGTTTCTCAAAACTTAAATTTAATCGCAATATTTTTTTTTGTTTACTTTTTCGTGTTCTTTAAAACCCAAACACAAATTTCAAGTAATTTCATTTCATCACATGCTGCACAGATTGCGGTTCAATCATTCCATGTTGGGGCCCCGACCCGTGCCGTGTTCCGCTCCTGGTCTCTGCGCTTCGTCCCCACTTGCCATCGCCATCACCGGATAAACAGGGGCGCTGCCGTAATTCGGGACTGCTTGATACGCTTGCTGCCTCACGCCGTCTGAAACAATCCTCGCAGCCGCTTCGTATGAATGCGCACCGCCGACTGGCCTCATCCCTCCTGCGAATGCTTGGGCCGAACCCGGAACTATATGATGATAACCCGCTGGCACCTGACCTGGCACCACCGCCGAGTATGGCTGAACATAAGGCCCCTGAATTGTAACCGGTTGGACTGGTACCTGCCCATGCTGAACCGAAACCGGACCTGGAATGTAGTAAACTGAAAAAGGTTGTACAGAATGACCAGGATAAGTAGAATGCGGTGGGTAGTGAGGCATCTGGCCACCTGGATTTCCGGTTTGAAAACCGTCAATGTGATGTTCTTTCGATTCCATGACAGGAACCGGATTATCCGGTTTGGTTTTAACTGGCTGGAGGTTCGGCATGGACGGCACATTTGGAGCCGATGAGGTGGAGCAAAACGGAGATGAAACAACCGGAGCGGGTGAGCCAGGATCCGAACATGAGACGCTGTCGTTGACGAGCGGTCGGGGTTTCAACCTTGGTTCCCGGGTTTGGACCTCGTCGGAGTTTTCCAGGCCGAAGAGATAATCAGGCACTTCAGATACCATGGAAGACGCCTCGGAACGGCCTCGCTCGAGCCGACCTACGCCGCTGTTGAGGGCGTCGACAAACCAGCTCTCGCGATTGGCAGAGCCGTCCAGTAGGGAGCTGATACTATTGGCTCTAGAATCTTCTCCCTTAACGAACAGAAATAGCCGGAGCCGAGCTGACCTCGGGTTTTGATTCTGCGCTACCCGCTCGTACTCCTCCATCATGTTCTCCACATCCTCGTCCGTCGTCACAGAAATCAGGGCGTCCAGATCCTCATTGGGAAGCTGGTACTTCACTGTTATATTGGTGGTGCCTGCATCCAATTTGATCCCCCAAAGTTAAATTGAAAACAGACGGCAATACGGAGAAACAGATCAACCCTAATTCCGATGTGTGATCAGTACCTGAGAGCTTAGAAAGCCTGAGAAGGAGAGCTGAGAAGGAGATAGAGCGGTGGACCGCGATCATTCTGGTGTCACCACCGACGTAGCGGAGCTGGTTGTCGTGGGGGCGGGGCAATATCCTGCCACCGAAGCTGCACATGAAGCGGACGCGAAGCAAAGGTTCATGAAAATGGTCGGAACGAGGGGAGGAAGCGACGGAGTCAGCGTCGAACTCCCCCGGGTGGAGCGTCGTCATATATGATTCCGGCTGAGTGGAAGCGCTAGTGCCTAGTGCGATGGGTAAAAAACTAAAAAGCGTTAAAAAGCTAGGGACAGCTATATGTAGACTGTGTGTATGGTGAGAGAGGACGATGCGTGAGTATATATAAGGGGACCCAGAGGGGAAGGCGAGGTAAGAGAGAGAGTGGAGCTGCGTGGGACTGAACGTGAAGATGGTACAGGATTGGATATTTGTGGGGCAAAAGAAGGGCGATCGATAGGGTGTTGACGCAGGGTTAGGTTGGTTTTTTTATAATGCAATTTGTAGTTGCTCTTTTTAATTATGGTATGGAAACCCAGACTGAACGCTAAGTAAAGAAACAGAGATTAAATTGACCCAATGTGACTCAGGAATAACCTAGTAATAACCTGAGTAACTTAATCAGTTTGATGAGTTAATCCGGTTTTTTTTTTAAAAAAAAGAAATTGATGCTTTTCTTAAAAACGGTTGATAATTAGGACTCAGTAATTGAATGATTGTAGGGAAAAATATTTTATGATCATATATCTTCTTTTGTTACCAAAGGAATTGCAAAAAACTTGAAAAAAATTGTAAGGATATGATAATTTTATTAGTGATTCAATGTACTAAATTAATATTTAGTAGAAAATTTAAATTATTTTTTTGTTGTTTTTATTTCTCACCAGTTTGATCTCTGGTTGATTCCGGTCTAACCCACTAACTCTTAACTCGCTGCCTTCACTGGTTCAATAACCAGTCTGATTTTTAGTACCTTATTTTTAATTATTAGATTATTACATGTCAAGAGGAGTTATCTGATTATATATGAGTTGAGATTTGAACTTTCAGCCTGTTTAAGGTTGATGTTTATGACATATACTCTTTCCAGTCCTAAATATAAAACCCATTTTATAATATAAATTATACTATAAAATGGGTCTTGTATTTAGAACTGGAGGAGTATATTATAATGTTGGTATTGATTTTTTTTACCCGATGGATAATGTTAGTATTGACTTTGGTGGGTGATATAAATCCTGAGACAATTATTTAAAAGTAAATAAAAGAGGACGTTGGTCTTAATGAAAGAAATTTTTACGGTTTAAATACGAAGCCTGGAGTTCAAATTCGCATGAATGCAAAAAATGTCTTCGTGTGGAAAATCCACCCCTAATTAGATCTGATTAATAATGTTTGGATGTCATGTAACAACGAATAGGAAACTAGGAATGGGTGGCCAGCATTTGTTTGGATTGATGATTGGTGGTATATATAAAATTGCTGGTCGGCAAATTGAAGGTCCAGTGGGAGTGGTAGTAGTTGGATTAAAAAAGACGTTGAATACTTTGAGTCGGACTTCTCATTAAGTCTACGAAAATGCCAGGTTACTAAAAGATGAGTATAAATATGTGGTGTGCATTAGGCTGTGGAATTTAAGGAGGTCATATTTTTGGATTATATATATATATATATATAGACACACACGCACACTATCTTCAGTCCTAAATATAAAAGCCAGAAAACTAATTTGAATCAATTAAAAAAATAAGTTAAGTTAATTATTTGTAATAAATAAATATTATTTTTCTTAAAATATTCTTACTAATCAAGTTTATTGGTTAGAACTACTATTATTAAAATGATTATCTTAGAAAAAATAGATAAATATGAGAAATAAAGTGGATTGAGATCTTATACTACCTTTGGTTCTTAATATTTAGGATCAAAATAAAAATCAAACGTGGTATTAATAATAAATAATAAATGGAAAAACACTGATCGGTATAGTATTCAGAAGAATTCATTTTGAGGATACTCAGAGAAGTAGAAAGGCACCTAAATGGGTGTTAATTGGTTGTAATTAAAAATTAAAAACTAATTAATAAAAGATGAAGGGTATCCTATTTAGAGACTCTTTTAAGATTCTGGCTATATTGCTTTTGTTTCCATTTGACCCACTATTATTCATGTCAGGAATAAAGTCACCCGAAAATGACATTTTATCTTTCTTCTTATTGACTATGCACCCCTTTAAATTTTGATGAATTAACAAAAATAAGATAAAGTAAATTCCTATTCAAAATAAATTACCGTTATCTTAATTAAATCATCCACTATCTTGTTACGTACATACTTTCTAGTCCTATTTATAAAATAAATTTTTTTATTTTATTTATAAGTCATTTCATTAAATTTTTAGTATGAATATATTATTTTGTCTTTCATTTATTATAATGTAGATAGTTATTTTTTTAAGGTATATATATTAAATAAAAGTAAAGTTGAAAAACTATTATATTTTAAAGAAAAGTTAACGCAGTCTGAGGTTTTTCTTAATTTATATGAAATATATTAAAAATGCTCTATAAATAGGACTAGAAGATTATACATGTATGTAATTTTTTTAATTAATTTTACAATCAATAAGACATATTTTTCAAGGGTGGGGTTTATTTTTCACCCCACACCATCTTCGTAGTTTCTATATAATTCAGGGGAAAATTTGTGAAAATAGAGACAAGAAATGGGGAGAGATAATAGTAAACCCCTCATTTAAAGAGTCATAATCCCAATTCTAAAGTATCCAAGCAATGAGTTGATTTGCTTATCATTGTTTTGCTTTTGTATCCTATGAATAAGTTGAAAATGAGGTATTTAATAAAAAATTTTGTAACAGGAAGAAATGCATCATTAAACATTTAAATAAATCCAGTGAGGGTTAGGAAGGGATTGTGCCACTAATTTTACCAATATAAACAAATATAGGGAGGGGGAATATCTTTTATGATATTTCCAATGGGAGGGCTGGGTCAAAAGTTTATTTTAATTTGGGGCTCATATTTGCCTACAGCTTGTATATAATATTTAAAATAAAATAAAATAAAAAAAGAAGAAGCTTTTTGTGAACGGGGCAAAGCAAACTGATTCCGGGAATAGTATATGTCACATAAATAATTATGGAATGAGTATATCCACTTGGGGCTAGTGATGTGAAAATATAACATAACATATTTATTGGGGAAATAAAAAATGGGTCTAATTTATATTTTTAGCAAGTTGGATGGGATTAAAGGGACGTTTGTGGGGTATGTCTCATCTGGGCGGTGCCTTTAAATCATTTTTATTGCTAATCATCACAATTACACTAACAAACACTTCTGCTTGCATCATCAGTGAAGCTTGCCACTTATATTAACAATACTTTTCTCTATGTGGCTATTAATTATTAACAATCACAACATTTTCTTTTTCTTTTTTTGTTCATTAAATAACAATAATACCACTTATTGCACTATACTACAACTGTTTTGCCCTTACAAATATGTGCACTCTATAAGCATTATAATATTATCCTAAGACTCTATTTATAGGAAATAAGTTATATTTTAATTATAATTAATTATATACTGCTTCTTATAAATAGTCTCGAGGGGAGCAATTAGGGATATTGATTGGTGGCCTGATTGACTCCAATATTTATTTTCTTGAAAATAATTCAAAATCACATTGTAGCGTTTCAAATCCTTCAGTTTTCCCCAACACACATCAGGAGAGCTTTTTCAAAGCTTGTCTTGATCAGGATCTGCTACAGAACATTAAATTCTACAACGTAAACCTTGGGCAAGAGACCCGCCGAATTCCTACGGATGAGGAGTTTGTCAGACTCGAGGTCGACGGGTCAGTCCTTCGGGATTATTGGAATGGATGCGGGGGAATTATTGAAGGGGCATCGAAGGAGTGGGTTAACGGATTCAACTGCAAACTTACTAATGTTGCTCCAACGATTGCAGAGATGTTATGCATCATCCATGGTCTTACTTTGTGCTGGAATATAGGGTTTAGGAAGATCCATCTTGTTTCTGATTGTATAGAAGCTATTTCTTTGTTAAATTGGGGGTGTAATTTTGACCATTCTTTTAGTGATATCATTTTTGATGCTAGACTTCTAATTCATAGGGATTGGATAGTACAGGCTTACCATATTCATAGGGAAGGAAACCAAACTGCGGACTTCCTAGCTAGATATGCCCATATTGCTAATAGTGTTTTTTGTAACCTTGATCAAGCTCCACCTTTGCGTCCAGAGGCAGATAGTAATGAAGGAGTTCTGATGTAATCTTTTCTGTTTTAAGTAATGTTATCCAATTTTCACTAAAAAAAAAATCCTTAAGCTTTTTTATTTTTTTGTTTGTTTGTTTGGGTAGGAAGGAAAACAATTGGAAGACCATGTAAACAAAAACAGTGAGAAGAATACAAAAAAATAAAGGGATTTTACCCAAAAAAATTTTTGGCCAGACACATACATCTGGTTCTACTGTTTAAAGCGGATTATAGAATTCAAATCTCAACTCTTCATGTTGATAGCTAGTTTGTCCTACAAAATAAACCAAAACATTGCCAATTACTTGGGCCCAGATGTCGCCAAACGTCCAATCGAAAGCCCACGAGAAAACTACGATTCCAATCTTGTTTTCAAACGAAGCATGTAAAATGAAACTTAACTGATTTGGATATTGTGGCCCAAATCTTTACAATGAAGCCCAAAACTAAAAGGTCGACGTCGTTCCATAACTTTATGGCTTCCAATATGTCGAAAATATCATATATATATATATATATATACTATTTCTGATTTTTAATATAACATCTCATTTGATTTTTATTTTGTTCTTAAATATAAAATCTCAATCCATTTTGTCTCTCATATTTATCTATTATTTTCTAAGATAATCTTTGTAATAATAGTAGTTTTGGCCAATAAACTTAATTAGCAAGAATATTTTAAGAAAGACAACGCATATTTATTACAAATAACTAACTTACCTTATTTTTTTAATCTACTCAAATTAGTCAACTAGCTCTTATATTTAGAATCGGAGGTAGTGTTATTTTATTTTCAAACATATTAAAACGGTATTCTTCATAAACTATCAACAATACAACTTACTTTTAAACAAAAAACCTAATAAGTAATAACACAATTCAAAAAATATTTTCTATAATGAAATTAATTCTATTATAGCTCTATAGTTAGATGATCATTTTGAGGTGAGTTAGGTCGCACAAATAGAAAATACCCCCCCAAAAAAACCACGTGTTGATTTAATAATTGTCTATTTTACACGGATATTCAAATGAATCCGAAACGGAATAAATTTAAAATAATAATTCACACATAACAGACCCAATCACATGATATTATGAAACAAAGGCACGCAACAGAACACCACACGGCTTATCCAATAATTGTCAACAGATTTTTAGTTTCTGATAACGTCTCAGACAAAACGGTCTCTAGTAGAAAAATATCTGTGGGTTAAAAAAAACTAATTAGTTCATATAATTGGAAAAGCCCATTTGGACACACACACACACACACACACATATATCAGCAATATTCTCAAATTTGAAGTACTGCCTTTTTATTTTTGATACACCCACGTTATAGTGTGTGGTGGTTGGCAGCGCAGACAAATATGGTCAAGATTCAGATTCCCAAATTGGAATAACAAAGCTTTTACTGATCACAATTGGTTGGTAATTATTAATTAACGTTATTTGGGAATCAATGAACACAATATAATTAATTAATGAACAGTATTGGTTTGTTGAGATTTTGCAGCTCGCTTCTCAATTCAGGGTTCAGGCTTTATACGGCATATTATAGTGTTCATGCACGTAAAGTTCTTCACCAAGAGGTTTCAACACAGAATATACTTCTTCTCTTCATCTCTTTTTATTCCTCAAGAAACCTTCATATAAATATATATATTCCCTCTTATTCCGCCTTCAAAAATGTTGCCTTCTTCCCCTTCCAAACTTCTGAATCTCTTTTTCCTCTCTTCTCACTCCAACCTCTTCATATTCTCATCACCATCCCTTTCATTATAAGAATCCAACCTCTTTAATTAATTCATCTCAAGACTCCTCATCCCCTTACATTCGTTTAGCTAGGTTTAAGAAATGATGTTGCAGGTGATAAACATAATTAGATGGCAAAGAACAGTGCCATGCGGTCTGGTTTGTAGTAACGTGATTAGGTTTTTGCATAAGGAAGCGATCCCAGTGGAATGGAAGAAGCCAAGAATTGGTTGGACAAAACTCAACTTTGATGGCTCATGCAGAGGCAGCAATGGGGAAGCCAGCATAGGAGGGCTTGTTAGGAACCACAAGGCCGAGTTCCTACTGGGTTACGCCGAGTCCATAGGCCGAGCCAACAGCACCATCGCCGAGCTCACCGCCCTCCGGCGAGGCCTCGACCTCGTGCTCGAGAACGGCTGGAACGACAACCTATGGCTTGAAGGAGACGCAAAGACGTTGGTGGAGATAATATTGAAGAGAAGGAAAGTGAGGTGCATGGAGGTGCAGAAACATATAAGTCACATAAATTCAATATTACCAGAAATGAACAACGTTGTTGTGAGTCATATATATAGGGAAGGTAATAGGGCTGCTGATAAATTTGCTCAAATGGGACATCACTTGGAGGAACCTACAATTTGGAGACATGTTCCTCCCCATCAAGTTTTGGCTATTGTTCATGAAGATGCCCAAGGTAAAATTGTTCTTCGCACAAGACGACGATACCTAGGTTAATTTTAATTCATTTGTTACTGTTGTTAATACATTAATTTGTTGCTGCTAATAAATCTGTAAATACCTAGCTAGGTTTCTTGTAATATTATTATTCTTTGACCAAGAAAACTTGTACATGTAAATGGCTTTTTTTCATTCAAACGTGTATAAATGACCATCTAAGCTTAAAGCATCTTCCTCTTTTAATATTCAAATAGCACCAATTATCCTTAAGCTGCAAGGTAAGTATCAAATTAATGTACTACCTCTAGTCTTAAATATAAAAACTAGTTTGTAGTATAATTTGTATAATATACGTATATTTCTTACAAGTTCATGTTATTCAAAGAGTTCTATCTTAATATGTGTCCTTCGAAATATCTATAATATTTTAAAATAAGTAGTTAATAATTAGAACTTCTCAAACAATGAATTCAATATGCATATGCATTTAATAAGTAATTATTTAGTGCTTCCTTCGTCCCTTTTTATAAGAAACAATTCCTCTTATGTCCCTAAATATAAGAAATAAATAATTTTTTGTGAAATTTCAAATTAGTCTTTTCATTTTTGTTCATGAAGATGCCCAAGGTAAAATTGTTCTTCGTACAAGACGGTGATACCTCTAGGTTAATTTTAATTCATTTTTTTACTGTTGTTAATATTAATTTGTTGCTGCTAATAAATCTGTACATACCTAACTAGGGTTCTTGTAATATTATTATTCTCTGAACAAGAAAACTGGTACATGTAAATGGTTTTTGTTCATTCAAATGTGTATAAATGACCAGCTAAGCTTGAAGCACTAGCATCTTCCTCTTCTAATATTCAAATAGCATCAAGCATCCTTAAGCTACAAGGCAAGTATCAAATTAATGATCTCTCTTGTCCTAAATATAAGAGTTAGTTTGTAGTATAATTTGTATTACAAATTAGTTTTTATATTTAGTACCAAAGATAGTATAATATACATACATTTCTCATCAGTTCACGTCATTCAAAAAGTTTCATCTTCATATATGTACTGAGAAATATATAATATTTTAACATAAGTAGTTAATAATTAGAACTTCGCAAACAATCAATTCAATATGCATGTGATCAGCATTTGATCAGTGATTATTTAGTACTCTTTTCTGTCTCTTTTTATAAGAAACAATCCCTCTTACAGTGTTGTCCCTGAACATAAGAAACAAATCATTTTTGTGAAATTTCAAATTAGTCTTTTCATTTTTATTCCTATTAAATATATGTCACTTGTTATCTCTCTGTAATAGATTTTCACTCATTATCTCTCATATACTATCTTTACAAATAAGGTATAATTAGAAAAGTATTATATATCTTATACATTTATTGTTTTTAATTAAATTTAACTAACATTTGAATTGTGTGATTTTGATAGTTATTTTTTATAGTAAGAAATGAAAGAAGTAATAAGTACGGAAAATGTTTTGATATATTTGATAATTGTGTCGTCAAATGAAGAACTCGTCAAAATGCCATCTGTTTGCATGTGCGCTAGGCAATAATAAAGTGAATTGATCGATCTGTACAATCAAGTCGTTGTTTGTGTTTAGCTCAATCAAAGGAGTTTAATGGAAGTGACTTGTGCAACAAGTTACAAGTTTCATCACTTCTTAATTACTCTACTTATTATTACAACATTAACTGCATAACTAATCATTCATCTTGGCGTTTCCATTTTTTGCTATTTATGAAGAAACATAAAGCAACAACTAATGACTAAATAACAGCTAGTGACCCAAAAAGAAAGAAAGGGCCTCGTTTCTTAAGTCGAAGCTATACATAAAACTCTATTAATTACGGGCTATTATTAGATTATATATATATATATTTGCCAACTCAAGAAATTCCATAAGACATCACAGTAAATCACCACAACCGAAGGGTCATCGTCTGGAACAATTAAACAAACGAAAGAACAACAATAAACTAAATAACAAAATATTAAAAGGACGAGGAAAAATAAAATATCAGCCAGGCGCGGATCAAAAGGAGTCATCTAGGTTTTTCATTAGCAACTGCTGTAACGGCAATGGAGGTCACATCACCCAATTTGAGGGGCAAGACTTCTAATCAGCTACCAAATTAGTTTCTCTGAGATTCCATAACGCAAAAATGAATCCCGGATAAACTAATTTAATTGCTGTTTGAATTGCTAAAGCTTCATTGAGCAGGTCTTGCCCTTCAGAGCGGGTGATGCGACCTCCATCAGTGATGCAAAATTTCCTAATGGATGACCTAAGTGACTTTGCTTTTGATTTTGGCTGATATGTGATTTTCCTCTCATCCTTATGTATGTGTCCATCCAAAATGACTTCTCCAATAAAAGGGGTCTCTTCAGTACAACAACTAAAGAGAGACAACTGCAAATGCTAACAACCACAGAGAAAGTGAAGTGACTAAAATGGTAGTACAACAAATCAAAAGAGGGTGGTGTACTACACTACAACCTTGTTTTGCAAGGAACATTAGATAAGAGATGATGCATCGTCCTGAAACTTACATATATATGTGTGTGTGTGTGTGTACACACACACATCTAAGAGGAGCTTTGTGGATCTCACAGAAAGTATAAAAAACAACCCACGTCGGAAAAACACCATTGAGTGCAGCGTTGATGAACTAAATCCTTCATATGATCATGTGCTTCCAGTTCGAGCTTTAATGGAGATGGCGTCATCAGCACTGCACTCAATCATGTTTTTTTTGGGACAATGTGGAAACTATGTGTCTCTATTAGCTTGAAACTGATCATGAAAGGTTAAGTTCCTCAATATTTCTTCTCAGCTATATTCCTTCTCTTGAATTGGATTTATTTAGAATTGAATCGCAATAAACTTTGTTCAGATCGGCGGCTTTCTTGGTATAGGTTGAGTTTGTGTGAATTCATAGATTAATGTTTTATCCCAGCCATATGTGAATAGATGTTTATAGTAATCCTCATTATGATCTGAACTTAACAAACAAAAATAATAATAATTCTACAGGCATACTATATTCCTTAATAACAACCAATTTCAGTTCTGTGGAACTCACCATTTTCAGCTTTTGTGGTGATTAATTGCAGAACTTCAGGAATGAAGCATAAAATCAGTGCCACGACATAATAGGTCGTAGCTTATTTTTATCAGATAACTAGGAATTAAGTTCATTATTTGAGCAATATTTCTCTCCCCCTCTCTCGTCCATCACATAGGAGTGGTGTGGGGTTGGTAAATCTAATAGACCAATATTTTTTCCCTTAAAAAGTAATGCCATTCCACTTTTTTTTAATATAGCACCATAACTATATTTTTATTTTGATCATGAAAGATCATTGGCTAGTAGGTTCTTTCATTCAGGGCCAAATTTTATATTGTAAAACTTAACCATCCGATGAAGTTTGAACTGAGCTATTCGATCTTGGGAAAAGGGATAACTACAGAACAGCAATAGAACTCATCAGCTGCCAGAAGGAGGTTATGGTAGGTATGGGCTAGCTGTAAAAGGGGAACAAAGTGAGAAAAAGGTGCTCATATTTTAATTTGAATTTATTGCGTCTTCAAAGAAGATTGAGGCTGCAAGACTAGCTACTTTCCACTATTATGAGTAATCAGAAGACCAGCTTTGATGCTAATTGTAGTTCCTTGAAAGAATCCATTCGTTTTTTTTTTTTTTCAAATGCAACTGTGGTTAAATTATTACTCATTTGTACACTAGAATTTAACGAAAGAATCATCATTGTTTCAATATGCACATTGTACAATTTTATATATACACGCCTGTTTGGACCAGACAGAAACATGGCAGACCAGATTACTCATTTTAATTTCATGATGACATGTCCCTTTTCATTAACTGTATTTAAACAGAAACATCATAGATGCTCTTGCTGCATTTACAAGCCCATTAAACCTGGCAATGGGAAGGCAAAAATTAATGGGCTTCGCTAAGCAAAGCGTTGAAGATTTCAGCCCAAAAAGAAGTTCACTTCTGGTGATTATCATACTTAAACCACATTAATTGTGCAGCTAATCTCCAAAGCCTCATTTTAAAAGAAATCGTGAACACTATTTTTTCTGTTAGCTAGTGCAGCTCTTTCCAACTCGGACTCGTGAATTTTATTTTTTAACAGGATTTAAATCTCCTTGTTAGTTATTTACACCTCTTTAGTCCTTATACTACAGAACCACACCTCAATTTTCTCTGGTGCTTGTAGACTCTGCAAAATCACACTCTTCAAAATTTCCCTACATCAAGGTAGCAATTTCACTAATGGAAATTGCACAATCCAAATGTGGTTGGGTCTCATTTTTATCTTGGATGCTTCCCCAGTCAGGTGGGTATCCGCAGAATAAGGAAGTTTTGAAACTTCCAAAACAAATGCATAAAGCAGCAGCAATTAATCAACCAGACCACATCGTTCACTAACTGATATGCCTTTTAAAGATTTTGAATAACAATATACGTTGTGTCAAAGTTTGGATGTTAAAATTCAGAACACTGCATCATTAATGCATACAAGATTGTTTCCTACCCAAGAAACTGCTTCAATAGCAATTGCTAAATGATTTTGTCCCCGAAAAAACCTCCCGCAACAAGAAATCCTTAAAATCTGTGATGCAATTTTCAAGTTACTTCCTTAAGTTGGTCCAAACAAGCCCAATTTTGGAGCGAAACCCGTGTCCTTTGACAGAGTTGCTTGCTATCTATCAGGTCAGTGACGGATCAAAGGATTTTGTGGAGTCCTGATCTCCCCTCATAAATCATGATCTCACCAGTCCCTATGTTGTAGATTACGAGACTGAATAGACTCTTTACCAATATTTATTGGAATATCCCTTCTCATCCCCACTGTTTCTTCGTATTCCCAATAGATACGCCCTTTGGGCCTGAGAAAACCCTTTTCTTTTTCTGTGTGCTCTGCGAGACATATGGGGTATTTTCCACTTTCCTGAGCAATTTTCTCGAGAAAAATCTCAATTTCACCAGAAAGATTGAATTTTTCTGGGAAAATCGAAATGGGTGAGGAGGAAGTTTTGCCGGATCATCTGCGCTGCAAGCGCACCGACGGACGCAAATGGCGGTGTAGCCGGAGAGTGATGGACAACGTGAAGCTTTGTGAGATTCACTATCTTCAAGGCCGCCATCGGCAATACAAGGAAAAGGTGCCGGAGTCGCTAAAGCTCCAGAGAAAGCGTAAGAAAGGGCTTAATAAGGATGACTCTGTTCTCAACAATGTCGAAGCGAAGGCACGGAAAGTGGTCAAGATGGCGAAGATGATGAAAAAAAGGATAAAAGTGTCAGATGATTCGGAGGCAATGGAAGCTCCTGTGGGGAAGAAGGCGTCCAAGCAGGGTAATAAGCAGTTGGAGTTGATAAGGATGGTGCTGAAGAGAGAGGTTGAGAAGAAGAAGAAGAAGCAGGGAGAGAAGATGAAGAGGAAGAAGGAGGAGGAAGAACAGGAATTTCATTACAGTGAGGGAGAGTTAACAAAGGAATTACCCAATGGTTTAATGGCAATTTCTAGGGCATCAACGGCCCAAGAATACTGCAATGTAGGTTCTCAATGTGACGTTAAATTATGTGTTGATCATAAGGCAATTACTCCACGTTACTTCAGGTCCAAGAATGTTGAAAGGCTGCCAGCGGGGAAGTTGCAGGTGTGTCTTATGTGGGTTATAGCTGATTAACTGTACTTCCTCTATAGTTTGAGGCTTTTTGGTGGTTTATATGTCTCCTCTTTGAGTAAATTGCTTGTCATGTTTAGGTTTTACCGTATGGACGCAAGTGTAAGAGGAAGAAGTGTCATTGGTGTCAAAGAAGTGATTCTTGGAATCTCATAAAATGTTCAAGCTGTCAAAAAGAGTTTTTCTGCATGGATTGCATTAAAGAACGGTTTGTTAAATATTTCTCAATTTAAGTATAAACTAGAAACTGCGTTACTTATATTCTAGTTTGCAGTGAATGTTGAACTTCTTGCTTTTTGCCATTCCTTGTGTACAGAATACTCGTCTGCGTTGTATCTATGGCCATTTGAAAAGTAGTCATGATTTTCTATAGGATTAGAAGTTCAATAGAAAATCTGGGTAATGCTGGAACTTTATTTTGTGGTGCATCATTTGATAAGTTAAACCCCTTAGCATGGTTTTTTACTTTCCTGCACAAAAACTATAGTCATAATGTGAAAATCCCCTAGTCAGCAATTAATCTTGCTACAATTTTAGAACTCAGTGTCGAAGAATAAGTTAATGAGGCTAGGCATCGAAAGGCGTTCGTGACAAGTTGTGTTAAGTGTGGGACTGCTGCATCTTATTTTTGGTAGTAAATATGAATATTTATGGCTTATTGGTATACTCAATCTTCTCTACTATTTCATCTAAATTTTATGCTTGACTGTTAATTTAATAATTGTATCACAATATTAAAATCTGGTTATTTTACATATGACTTTTCTTGTTGCTTCATTTTTGTAATTTATTTCTCTCAGTGAGCGCTTTTCCAGCACCTGCCGCTTCAAGATCCTAGGATGGTCTTACACTTTTTCCCTTTGGTTATTTGGCTTTTTAAATGAAAGGATGCTCTGTTTGCTTAGTCATGATATGAGCAGAATAACTATCAATTTGAAGAGAAGTTATATACAACCATATGAATAAGTCAATAAATCTTGTTAATCCTGTAAATCTCACTACTTCTTCTCCCTGTGCTTTTTTGGCAACTCTTGGTTGATAACAACATAACAAGGACAATTTATAGTGGTCATGATTTCTGCTGTCTGCTCTTTTATTTATTAAGCATGTGTACATGAGATGTTTGTCATCTCTATCTTGAAACAATATAGGTATTTTGATACTCAAAATGAAGTTAAGATGGCATGTCCAGTTTGTCGAGGATCTTGCTCATGTAAAGACTGCTTGAGAAGTAAATGTAAAGACAACGAAACTAAGGTCTGATATCGCAACTAAATGCTTTTCACAGATGGATGGACCAGTGTTTCTATGAAACCATGTTCTGACTCTTGAATTTACGCCTTGCTTTTTCAGGAATTTTTGGCTGGTAAGAGAAAAGTTGATAGAATATTGCATTTTCATTATTTGATTTGTACGCTCCTTCCTATACTGAAACAAATAAATGAAGACCTCAATGCTGAGATAGAAACAGAAGCTAAAATCAGAGGTAGTAAATATTAGTCATCATTGCTTGCGTTGCTTCTGCATCGTTGATATCGAAATCAACTTTTGTTTGCTAGAGAATGGGTATCTTAGTTTCCTTCATGTGTAACAGGTAAAGGAATATCTGATATTCACATCAAGCAAGTTGAATTTTGCAGCAATGACGAGACTCGCTGGTGAGGCCTCTTTTATTGATGCTTGTGGTGAAGTTTGTGCGATTTTCTGGTTCTGCTCTGTAACTAATCTAGCATTTGTCCCAGCAATCAATGCAAAACACCCTTTTTGGATCTCCATAGAAGCTGTCCAAGTTGTTCCTATAGCCTTTGCCTAAGTTGTTGCAGACAATTGTGTCGAAGGAACTACTCTGAAGAAATTAATACATCTATTTCCAAGTCACGTGATGGGATGGATGCCCGTCTTGCCAGTGAAAATCATCTTTTAAATAAGAAGGCCATCGCCAATGGCAATTCAGTAGCTACTTTTTCATTGCATAAATGCACAAACTATGATGGTACTGGCAAAGTCTCTTGTCCTCCAAAAGAACTTGGTGGTTGTGGTGATAATTATCTTGAATTAAGATGTGGTTTTCCGTTAAGTTGGATCAGGAGATGGAAGTAACAGCAGAAGAAATAGTTTGCAGCTACGATTTTCCTGAAACATTAGACAAAAGTTTGAGCTGCTCATTGTGTCCAGACACTGATAATGAACTTGATGGATTTAAGCAGTTACGAGAAGCAGCTTTTAGAGAAGATTCAAAAGACAATTGGTTGTTTTATCCCACAGTTTTGGACATCGAGGGTGATAACTTTGAACACTTTCAGAAGCACTGGGGTAAAGGCCATCCTGTAGTGGTGCGAGACGTGCTCCAAAATACATCAAACCTCAGTTGGAATCCACTGGTCATGTTCTGTACTTATCTTGAGGGTAGCATGTCAAGATATGAGAATGACAAAGATGAACTTGAAGCTTGTTTGGATTGGTGTGAGGTCAGTTTATCAGTTAAATGAATATGTCATATCATAGATTTGAGCTTTCTTGTATTTTCTGCTAGTTTTAATCTTCATAGTTATTATTGTTGTAATTAACATGAACACAAACAAATATAATGTACCCTATGTTTAAACCTGACTTAACTCCACTCTGCTTCATAGAAGGAATGGAGCTGCCCAAGCTCTGTTTCTGAATGCACATTTTCTATTCATTTTTGCTTTCTTTCTCTATTACAGGTGGAGATTAACATTAGGCAGTGCTTTACTGGATCTCTTAAATGTCAGCCACAGAAAAACATGTGGCATGAGATGCTGAAATTGAAGTGGTTACTGTCTTCCCAATTATTCAAAGAATGGTTTCCAGATCATTTTGCTGAAGTAATTGATGCCCTACCACTTCAAGAATACATGAATCCTACATCTGGTTTTCTCAATTTAGCTGTAAATCTGGCCCAGGGGAACGCAAAGCCTGACCTGGGCCCATATATCTATCTTTCCTATGGCTGTGGTGATGAACAGAGTGACTTTGTGACCAAACTGTCTTTTGATTCATATGATGTGGTATGCTACCTTTCTTTTTAAGCTGCTT